GGGCCTGGAGCCCTCTCTGGGCTAGACTCGGGGACTGGAGCCTTCTCTGGGCTAGACTCTGGGGCTAGGATGAGGGTGGAGAACAGTCCTTTTCTCCTCATCCTCCTTTGGTTACGGGTGAATGGCGTGGTTGGTGGGCTTGACATAGGCGTGGCCGGCAGTTCTGGGCTAAGGACCAATGAGGAGCTTCGGAGAATTTGAGGATTGAACCTCATTGGAACCGTATGTGGAGGGGGCTGGCTTGTGGTGAGCTGGAGCGTCCACATGCTTCCGGATGGGAGGAGGATGATGGTCCTCCACATCGACAAAGAACTTGGAACCATTTAACTCAAGAACACAACTTATAAACTCTGCTACGGGTTTGTGGCAATCGTCAGGACTCAAAACAAATGATCATCTTTTAGTCCCATCCGGAAGAACACATTAATCATGGAATCGCTCCATCTCGCCAGGTGTATCATGCTCAGGAACTCCTCCACATACTGCTCCAAAGGCCGTCCCTCCTGCCGGAAATCAAATAGAAAGTCCTCAGCCCATTTAATCTTGTTTTGGGGTCTGCTGATCTGTCCCGATTCCGCAGGAACACGGGAACGAGGAATTCTTCAATAAACAGTCTTTATTAACTCAATCGTTGGGAACACAGGGAACTTAGGAAACACTGAGCACACAAAATGGCCTATAACAGTGGACGCCAAACACAGGGAAACACAGGGTTTAAATGCACAGTAACTGATGGAACACACCTGGGATCAAATGAACTAAACTAAACGGGGAACACCTGGAACAAATGAACATAAGGACAGGAACGGGAAGGACCAAATAAGGGCATCTGTCTTGCTTCCATATTTATTTACCGCTTTCAATACAGTATATGGAGAAAACATCATTGAACGCTTTATACGCTTTATGACTGACATGAAGATAAATAGTGTTGTAATCTGGCCTGTTATTTGTAGAGAGCATTTTATTGTAATATTGTATTCATCACTATTTCCTCTCGGTGCTGTGAGTCCTTCCTCCCTGCAAAATAATGCAACACAAAAGCATTTACTTAGCTCTCATGATTGCAGATTGATACAGATCAATGTGAATCATCTCAAAAACTCACCAGCTCTTCTTGCACAGATGATCTGAACAAGAATCACAGTAGGAGCAGCAAACACTGCAAACTCAACAATAATCACAATCACTGCAGGACAGATTAGAGACACAATCAAGAGAAAGAAAGAAAAACAGACTCAATCTGTGAAACTGGAAATGAAATCAAAGGTATAAAACAACAAACTGTGTGTACACTGTGTGTAAAGATGTGTGGTACCTCTGAATAATGATGCAGCAGTCCTACTGACTTCAGTTTCTGCTGGATCTGTGATCATGTTTGTTAGTTCAGTTCAAATATAATGAACATAGAGACCAAACATCAACATCACAACATACTTGAGCTTCACATCACAGAAATGATAAATTAACTTCCACTGCTTCGTGAGTTTGTCATCTATTATTATGTAAGATTTCGCTTAGGATCCGTTTATGCTCAGAAAGGCAATGGTTACCATATGACTACATGAAGCAATTATGCCTCATTTATATGCAACCCTTCAGTTTGTCCTGAATTAATGACATTATTAATCCTCAAGTCATGTCTCTGTATCAGAGAGTCTTCTGAAAGTAAGTTATGAAAGTTTGTTTCTCACCTGAATACCTGACAGTATATGTGACTGACGTCTTGACTTGAGTAACTTCACATCTCCACTCTCTGTTGTGATCTTCATTCAGGAGTGTTGTAGTCAGAGTGCTGATGCAGTGATCTGGAGCTGATATCTGATATCTGGAGTCTGAGTTTATCAGTTTATCACCAGCCTGATTCACCCAGAACAGATGAATTCCCTCAGAACGGATCCAATCATCACAAGAGACTCCAGTATATGAATACAACTGACAGGAGAGAGTCACAGAGTGGCCTGCACTGATCTCAGTCTGTGAGGATGAGACTGAAACACAAAATAACACACAAATCACATACATGTCAAGCATCATGGGTTTTTAAATGAAGAATTTGCCCTTTTTAAATTGAGCACATAATCGTAAAATTACCACGAAGAACATGCAGGTAAACACGAGCATCATTTCCTTGTTGTTTGTCATTCACATATTGTCTGCAGATGTAAGATCCATAATCTTCTTTTGTGACGTTCTTGATGTTCAGAGAGCAGTCAGACCCCAGACTCAGTCTCTCATGTCTCTCTGTGTTTTTCTTCTTTATCCCTAAACCAATCAGTTCAACTGTCTCTGATTGACTGAATCTGTTATAGATCCATGTAGTTGATTTACAGTCATGAAGAGCATTATTACAGGGCAGACGGACATTTTCACCAGAACTGATGAATACATGAGCATCATCCACTCCACTGGATCCTGAAACACAAGAACATTTGAGTGATTATTATACTATATATGAATAAATGTAGATATAAAACATACCAGCATAAAATCACTTAATGTAAACCAGTGGTTCCCAACCCTGGTCCTGGAGGCACCCCAACACTGCACATTGTGCATGTCTCCTTTCTCTGATACACCAATTTCAGGTCTTGGAGTCTCTACTAATGAGCTGATGATCTGAATCAGATGTGTTTGATTAAAGGTCCCATGGCATGAAAATTTCACTTTATGAGGTTTTTTAACATTAATATGAGTTCCCCTAGCCTGCCTATGGTCCCCCAGTGGCTAGAAATGGCGATAGGTGTAAACCGAGCCCTGGGTATCCTGCTTTGCCTTTGAGAAAATTAAAGCTCAGATGGCCCAATCTGGAATCTTCCCTTTATGTTGTCATACGGGGAAAGGTTACCTCCCCTTTATCTGCTTTGCCCGCCCAGAGAATTTGGCCCGCCCATGAGAAAATGAGCTACTACCGTGCGAGGCGAGCGCAATATTTTTTTTTCCTCGAGAGACATCATGGCTTGCAAACAAGCGAAGCATGGCAGTTGCCCCGCCTCTCTCCTCCTCATTAGCATTTAAAGCTACAGACACAGAAATGGCACGTCCTAAGGAAAGCTCATTGTGTTTATTTACCGCTTTCAATACAGTATATGGAGAAAACATCATTGAACGCTTTATGCAAATATCCACTGACATGAAGATAAATAGTGTTGTAATCTGGCCTGTTATTTGTAGAGAGCATTTTATTGTAATATTGTATTCATCACTATTTCCTCTCGGTGCTGTGAGTCCTTCCTCCCTGCAAAATAATGCAACACAAAAGCATTTACTTAGCTCTCATGATTGCAGATTGATACAGATCAATGTGAATCATCTCAAAAACTCACCAGCTCTTCTTGGACAGATGATCTGAAAAAGAATCACAGTAGGAGCAGCAAACACTGCAAACTCAACAATAATCACAATCACTGCAGGACAGATTAGAGACACAATCAAGAGAAAGAAAGAAAAACAGACTCAATCTGTGAAACTGGAAATGAAATCAAAGGTATAAAACAACAAACTGTGTGTACACTGTGTGTAAAGATGTGTGGTACCTCTGAATAATGATGCAGCAGTCCTACTGACTTCAGTTTCTGCTGGATCTGTGATCATGTTTGTTAGTTCAGTTCAAATATAATGAACATAGAGACCAAACATCAACATCACAACATACTTGAGCTTCACATCACAGAAATGATAAATTAACTTCCACTGCTTCGTGAGTTTGTCATCTATTATTATGTAAGATTTCGCTTAGGATCCGTTTATGCTCAGAAAGGCAATGGTTACCATATGACTACATGAAGCAATTATGCCTCATTTATATGCAACCCTTCAGTTTGTCCTGAATTAATGACATTATTAATCCTCAAGTCATGTCTCTGTATCAGAGAGTCTTCTGAAAGTAAGTTATGAAAGTTTGTTTCTCACCTGAATACCTGACAGTATATGTGACTGACGTCTTGACTTGAGTAACTTCACATCTCCACTCTCTGTTGTGATCTTCATTCAGGAGTGTTGTAGTCAGAGTGCTGATGCAGTGATCTGGAGCTGATATCTGATATCTGGAGTCTGAGTTTATCAGTTTATCACCAGCCTGATTCACCCAGAACAGATGAATTCCCTCAGAACGGATCCAATCATCACAAGAGACTCCAGTATATGAATACAACTGACAGGAGAGAGTCACAGAGTGGCCTGCACTGATCTCAGTCTGTGAGGATGAGACTGAAACACAAAATAACACACAAATCACATACATGTCAAGCATCATGGGTTTTTAAATGAAGAATTTGCCCTTTTTAAATTGAGCACATAATCGTAAAATTACCACGAAGAACATGCAGGTAAACACGAGCATCATTTCCTTGTTGTTTGTCATTCACATATTGTCTGCAGATGTAAGATCCATAATCTTCTTTTGTGACGTTCTTGATGTTCAGAGAGCAGTCAGACCCCAGACTCAGTCTCTCATGTCTCTCTGTGTTTTTCTTCTTTATCCCTAAACCAATCAGTTCAACTGTCTCTGATTGACTGAATCTGTTATAGATCCATGTAGTTGATTTACAGTCATGAAGAGCATTATTACAGGGCAGACGGACATTTTCACCAGAACTGATGAATACATGAGCATCATCCACTCCACTGGATCCTGAAACACAAGAACATTTGAGTGATTATTATACTATATATGAATAAATGTAGATATAAAACATACCAGCATAAAATCACTTAATGTAAACCAGTGGTTCCCAACCCTGGTCCTGGAGGCACCCCAACACTGCACATTGTGCATGTCTCCTTTCTCTGATACACCAATTTCAGGTCTTGGAGTCTCTACTAATGAGCTGATGATCTGAATCAGATGTGTTTGATTAAAGGTCCCATGGCATGAAAATTTCACTTTATGAGGTTTTTTAACATTAATATGAGTTCCCCTAGCCTGCCTATGGTCCCCCAGTGGCTAGAAATGGCGATAGGTGTAAACCGAGCCCTGGGTATCCTGCTTTGCCTTTGAGAAAATTAAAGCTCAGATGGCCCAATCTGGAATCTTCCCTTTATGTTGTCATACGGGGAAAGGTTACCTCCCCTTTATCTGCTTTGCCCGCCCAGAGAATTTGGCCCGCCCATGAGAAAATGAGCTACTACCGTGCGAGGCGAGCGCAATATTTTTTTTTCCTCGAGAGACATCATGGCTTGCAAACAAGCGAAGCATGGCAGTTGCCCCGCCTCTCTCCTCCTCATTAGCATTTAAAGCTACAGACACAGAAATGGCACGTCCTAAGGAAAGCTCATTGTGGGACTGGCTCGTAGTGGCTGAAATTCTGCACCAAGGCTGAATTTCGGGAAAGAGACTTCAGATACAGTACTAGGGACCACTTAGGCCTATATAAAAGCATCCAAAAAGCAGCATGTCATGGGACCTTTAAGGAGACATGAAAAACATGCAGTGTTGGGGTGCCTCCAGGACCAGGGTTGGGAACCACTGATGTAAACAACACACTTTCCAGAAGAAACTATTTCTGTTCGAATCACAAACACGCTCTTAATATGAAGATAATTCAGCATCAGATGTTTGAGTGTGAAACTATACAGGAATAATCCAGTATGTTCTGTTTGTAACACAAGAATAAACTGATCCTGTTCAAATTAACTCTTTCTCAGACTAATTCCACTAAATGTCTTGAAGAGAAAATAGAGATCTCTTTACCTGTGAGAAGTGAAGAGAGAAAGATCAGTCCCAGCAGACACAAATGACACTTATCAGCCATTTTCTCTTTCTCTCAGTCTTCCTCTTCATTATATGTTCACAACTTTCTTGAAATACTATCAGCTCGTCCTGTCTGTGGTTTTTAACTTCCTCTGATCTACAGACTCAGTGTTGAAATGTATTTGAGTTGTTATATATTGACTCAATGACTTTGCTTCACATTTGTCTAGTAAATATCCATTCAAATTCAAGGAGCCATACTTTCAGAAGTGACATGGACAGAATGTGGAGCAAACATAGCTCAACATTAATAATCACCATCTTTACTCTAATTTGTAGGGCTTTGATTTTTTTTATTTTATTTTATTTTTTAAATGAGAAGTGAGATGACACACAGACACACACACAGGTGTTTATTGGAAGGTAATAAGGAACACAAGCAATGCAAGCAGGTGAGTAACTGAGTTCAACAAACAGTAGCAAACACTTTTATTAAACACTGTTGTTCACTCTTTTCCTTTCACAGGTGCTGGGTGCTGGTAGGAGGAACTGGATGGCGTTCAATAGAAGATGACTGAAGACAGGATATCAACCCGTAAGACTCACAGGTAGATAGTCTGGTATGCAGTTCAGCAGGGTACAAAATGACCTGACAAAATGTGACTGCTTAAACCAGGGCTGCCCAAACTCGGTCCTGGAGGGCCGGTGTCCTGAAGAGTTTAGCTCCAACCCCAATTAAACACACCTGGCCCTGGCTTAAACAGAGAGTCCTTGATTAACTGGTGCAGGTGCAGATGATTGGAATTCGGGTGATTGGGAACGAGTGGGTTTGGTGTTTGGTGTCTATTTGCAAAAGCACTGCCGAGATAAAAATCGGTTTGGAATTGTGCCGTTAAACAATAACGGTTTGTTATATCATCAAGAAATCCATATTTTTTTGCCGGCATGGTCTGAAGATAATCTGAATCGAATTTGGTGAAAATCATTTCAATAAAGGAGAAGTTAGAAAAAGCAAATTTTCAAAATGCAAACAACAAGTTCAACCTACTATGGCATCATTGTTGTTCTCGGTTTGACTCAAGGAATCTATCATTACAATAGGAAAACAATAATCAAAAAGCTATTATCAGTTTTTGAAATTTCATTATATTGCCCCGAAACATCTTAAGTATCATCAGGACATGATGCTGATGATGCCTAACAACTTTCAAAAAGACACGCCAATGAGTTCATAAAATACAGTATAATAACAAATAGCATTTTACCACCAAATTCAAAGTAGCCGCCTTTTAAAGGGGCCATATGATGCTGCTAAAAAGAACATTATTTTGTGTATTTGGTGTAATGAAATGTGTTTATGCGGTTTAATGACCCCTTTAAAGCACCTCTGAAGCAATTTAAACAGCTCAGTCTGTGTCACAGCACACAGATCCAACTAACTGTGAATTATCACCTGTCAGAGAGACTTGTGCCGCTGCGAAACCCACCGGCTGAAGGGAAAATGTGCTGGTGTTTGGTGTGTGTGGTGTTAATAAAGGACTCTGGATCTGATGGATTTTCTCAGGGCTGGAGAGAGAAATGCAGCACGTTGTGATCCATGTGTAGAAACACTGGCTTCTTCAGAATTCTTAATTTCAAAATACTTTTTAAAAACTGTTTTAGAGTTCCTTTTACTACAAGTGAGTCTTGGATAATGGAAACCTTTTCAGTAACAAACAAATTGTATCACTAATAATTTAATGACATTATGTCTATTTAACAGCATGCAGACTGAAGGAAAGAAGTGAAACTGACAGTAATGTAAAGAATAGCCTATAGATTGTGTTCAGAGCAAATGTGTGGCTGACAATATGCAGATCTCACTGAAGAACGTGTTTCACAACGGCTGTCATGTCAAAGTCTGTCCCCCTGTGTTTCTCCATGTTAGTGGTTATGGTTATGGTTAGACAGTTTATAGGAAACATAGGAGGAACCGAGTTCAACACAACACCGGCATCAGTCAAGGCAGGAGGATTTAAGCTGTTGAGGTGTTTACAGAATGACTGTACATTAAAACTGCCTGAACTGTTACCACTGAACATCAACCACAAGTGAGGGACTGTTCCTATTACAGTAGCAGTGTACTGTACTTTACATTTAAGCATCAACGAAAAGACATATTAGTACTGAAATCTACTTGAATTTGAGTGGATATTGTCATGGAGAAACTCGGTTCGCTCTCAGAAGAATCAGAAATAATGACTTCCAGAAGTCAAAATTAGACTTTATTGCACAAAGACCAAAAAAAAACAAAAACCAGCTGTTCATTTGAAATAGTTTCATCAATATTTACAAGAGAAATGTGAAGCAAGATTTCTCCATTATGACACTATATAGCCACTCATTTAGCAATATTTCAACATCTGTAGATCAGAGGAAGTTAAAAACCGCAGGACAAGCTGATAGTATTTCAAGAAAGAGTTGTGAACATATAATGAAGAGAAAGACTGACAGAAAGAGAAAATGGCTGATAAGTGTCATTTGTGTCTGCTGGGACTGATCTTTCTCTCTTCACTTCACACAGGTAAAGAGATCTCTATTTTCTCTTCAAGACATTTAGTGGAATTAGTCTGAGAACGTTTATTCTTGTGTTACAAACAGAACATACTGGATTATTCCTGAAAGCACTGAAACTAGACAGTTTCACACTCAAATATCTGATGCTGAATTATCTTCATATTAAGAGTGTGTTTATGATTCGAACAGCTCTCTGATAAAGAGAACTGGTTTATTCCGGAGAGTGTGTTGTTTACATTAAAGGGTTAGTTCACCCAAAAATGAAAATTAGCCTGTGTTTTACTCACCCTCAAAGCATCCTAGGTGTATGTGACATTCTTCCTTCAGACAAATCCAATTGGAGTTATATTAAAAATGGTCCTGGCCCCTCCAAGCCATTCAATGGGGGTAAGCGGGTGTTCGGTTGTCAAAAGTTCAGAAGACGTGAAATAAAGTGCACACATCCATAATAAAACATCCCTCACACAGCTCCGGATAAATAAGATAAATATCCATATTTCAAATGTAATAAACACTTTTTTCTCACTTCCGCTGACTGTGGTACACTGTAAAAGATGATGCACTGTTAACTTAGTAAAATTATGTCTATCTTATTTGTTTCTGCTCTGTTCACATTACTCGGTTTGATCAAGTTTTTATTACTTTGTTACTTAAAGCATTGCAATTAAGTTCAATTAACTTAATTTCTTTGTGTTCAATGAAAAGGTCGAACATGTGGCTCCTTTGTGCATGCATGTGTTATAGACAGACACATACGAATTTCAGCCAGATCATCACACTACATATAGTGTGACCCATTAAATAAATAAATATAACTATAAATAATAAATAAATAATAGAGATAATATTATTGAACTTTATTTAGTTTTTTTTTTATAAAATAAAATATATATACACACACATACATATATATATATATGTGTGTGTGAGTGTGTGTGTATATGTATATACAGGGTTCCCACGCTTCTTGAAAGTACTTGAACATGTTTGAATTTCAGACATATGGATTCAAGGCCTGGAAAGTACTTGAAAACAAACATAGGTCCTTGAAAGTGCTTGAATTAAATTTGGAATAACTTTTTTTATGGCGCTATTTAAAAAAATGTCTTATATGTTCTGTCAAAGACCGAACAAGCGGCACTAATGATTGGGGGTGGAGTCCCGCAAACATTCTTATTGTCTTATTGTATATATTTCATAAACGAAAATAGTTCCAGATATAGTAACAGCTGAGCCGCTGCGCATCTCTAAAAGCAAACACAGCCGAGTTTCATTCATGAATGAAAGTGCGTTGAATCAGCTGTTCAAACGAATCAATTGAATGAATGATTCAGTGATCAAATCAGTGACTTACCGCCACCTGCTGGTGGATTTAGTTTAATTTTAACGTATAATTTCAGTTATTTATAAATCATTTAATATTTCTGTATTCAAAATTTGATATTTAAAACATTAATCTCCACATGAATGTATGAATTTAATTGCACTCATGCCACCTCTGAGCCTCATTAAATGTAAGTCACTTTAAGGAGTCAAATGTCACCTCGTATTAGGAAGGCTAATTTATGATCCGAATTTTTGATTATTGATCACAAGGTGCTCCTATTTAATTTTTTTTAATTAGAAGGACAAGCGCTCCTAAAAAGAAAAGTAAGCATAGAGTGTATCAGAGAAAGCTGAGAGTGTAACAGTATATT